ACCGGATCAACCGCCGGTTGAACCGGCCAACCGGGAAACCGCCGGTTGAGCCGGCCAACCGCCGTTAGGGTCTGAAGTTGTACTAAGGACAACTTTCCCTACACACGACAACTTTCAGTGTCACACAAGAGCGTCACAGTTGTCACATGCAAGAGTGTCAAGCAAGAGTGCACTGCAAAAGAGTGAGTCTTGTTTTGTGGGCACACGTGTCAGTGTCGTTCGCGCGAAGTCTTTTGCGCCACTCCAGTCACACAACAAATCACGATACTTACACTTTTCATGGCAGGCATATTTTTTGTAAATGTGTGTGTGTTTGGTGCTTGGTTTGGACGAAATCTGAGGCCACCGTTCGCCCGAAGACTTTGCTGTTCGCCTGAAGATTTTGGCGTTCGCGCGATGTTTTTTGGAGGGCTGGTCGTGTGCACACGTCGGCCCTGCTCGCCTCAAGTTCAGGAAGCTTGAGCCTTTATAGATCGATATATATATATATATGTATAAATATAAAAGGAACATTATGGAACAAATTTTTGGAACAAGTTTGGAACAGGTTTTGTGACCACGCATATACAAACACACACTCTACAGAATGCACCAATAATTCAACAACGAACGTGAAGTCGATCAGATTTCGATGCCCTTCATGAACGGGGCTCAAGTTGTCAGGGCTAGGCGCCATGGTGGTGGGTGGTGACGTAGTGTTCGTTAGCTGCCGAGGAAACCAGGGACTTGTGAGAGTCCGCGGCCGTGCGGTGGAGGTGGATGGAGACTTAGGAGTGGTCGTCTTGGCCTGTCAGAGCTCAATTGGCCGTCACCTCGACCAAAAGATAGAGGCCGGCGAGGAAGGCAAGCGTCTCACTTTTTTGAAAGTTCCACTCTCTGCTGCCAGCACAAAAACTCCACCTGGGTGGGGGTCAGTCGTCGGAGGCTCTGCTCCAGAGTTAGACGAAGCTCTCCCACTATGGGACAAGGTGTCGAAAGAAATGGCACTGGAAAGCAGCGAAGCCGAGGTGCAGTCCCCGGCTATGCAACCCAAAAAAGTGAAAACCTCAATGGCGGCGGCTGGCGGTCGCAAAAGTCAGCCGTCTGGTTTAGCGGAGGAGCTGCAGCGAATGCAGCAGGACCTGTGGGGAAAGTCGGGGGGGGGGCAGCAGCGAAGACGAAAGCAGCGAAGAAGAGACAGAAGAAGAGCTTCCCCCCCCGTTCTCGCAAGCACTTGGCTCCAGGTGCGAGTGCGTTAAAGAAGCCTTCGAAGAAGGACTCAGCTGCGTCCAGCAGCAAGTCGAAGCGAGACAATCCGCCCGGTCTCGAAGAAGTGATGGGGCAAGCAGTCGCTTCCGGCGCGGACGCCACTCAGCTCCTTCCCATGATGATGATGGCCTACATGATGAAGCAAGACAAGGCGGCCGAGGAAAAGAAGAAGCGAAGCAGAAAGAAGGGCAGGTCCCTTGGTGGTTCCGGCTCCGACACCTCAAGCGAGACGGAGGACGAAGAGGCCGGTGGGTTGAAGGCAGTCGACGCCTTGAACCACATGCATCGGCGGATTACCCGTCACCCGAAACGATTGATTCGGGAATTCGAAAAGACAATCGTGGAAGAGCTTGGGGTAGTCCCAGGACAAGCTTGGAGTGTAAAAGAGTGGGTTCGGAAGCAGAACTTCGGCAAGTTCAAGGGGCTGTACCGGGCGACTATGATGGACGTGGCTGTGTACGAGTTCTTGAGAGGCGGCGACGAAGCAGCGGCAGCTGCCCAGTTGACTCAGAACATCAAAGCCAAGATCCAGTGCTGCTTGGCCGGAGGAGATTGGTCCACAGCATGGTTGCTGACAGGCCTGCAAGACCCGCTGCTTCGCCGCGAATGGGCGGGAACGCGGGAAGAGATGTCGATCGTCAGCGGCTATGTCCGAGCATTATCCAAGGTCAGGAAGCATGTCAAAGAGGCGCACCAGAGCGCCGAGACGAAGGAAGACCAAGAGTGAGCCCTACAAAGTGCATGCGTTTTCCCTGGGAACGGGGGAGGAATTCAAAGTTTTTGAAGTTCTTTGACTGGCAGAAGAGTGTCCACAGTAGCGAGCCGGTTCTGACTGGCTATGTTGAACAAGCACCACTTTTCCCTTGCTCCTTGCCGTTCCCCGAGGCTTTCAAAGTCAGTGGGGAGGCAATCGCTGGCGAAGCGAGACGGTTGCATTGGGCCAAAGCTTACTTGAATTTTTGGGTAGCATGGTCTAACTACATCGTCCTGGGTTGCCCTGATTGTCGGGGGAAGACTAGAGAGCCGCGAGGAGGCTTTGTAAAGTCTGCTGAAGCGCACACACTTTGCATGAGCTTGCTTGGCGAGGTGGTCGAATTCATCGATGTAGGTTTTTGTACAGAATCGGTGAGCTTTGATGGTAGCCGTTCCGTTGTGGATGAGGCTTTGACGAGCTTGCAGAAGATGGATGCATGTTCAGGTGCAGGCGAAGAATCCGGGAGACTTGCCCGGAAGCTGAATGTCGCCATTCCGGTGGTGTCTGAACGTGTGGCAATCCCAGCGAAGGCCGGATCAGTTGACCCGCTGGCCTGGTTGCCACCAGAAAGGAGAAGTGTGGTAGAAGACTTGGGGCAGCTTTGTTTGGCAGAACCTTTGGGAGGAGGGCCTGCGCGTCCCTGTCACCAGGTGTCTGAGAAGGAGGAAAAGAAGTTGATCCAGCGCTTGTTAGCTGCGCAAATGATCACCCTGGTGTCGGAGGACGAGCTAGAGCGCACTGCAGATGGTAGATTGTTGGTTGGTGGCTTTTTCTGCGTTCGAAAGAACAATGTCGAAGACCGGTTGATCTTTGATAGGCGGCCAGCCAATGCTATGATGCAGCGCTTGGATTGGGCTCATCTCCCGGCCGGAGCCTGCCTGGCAAAGCTGCTTCTGGAGCCTGACGAGTTCCTTCGTGGCTCGGGAGATGACTTGAGAACGTACTATTTTTCTTTGGCTCTCCCACAGAATGCCTATAAGTTCAATGCTGTAGGTCGTAGGGTTGACCCCAAATTGGTCGCTTCCCTGGGAAAAGACCCCTCTGTTCCGCATCGAGCAGCTATGCGAGTCTTGGGTATGGGAGATTCAAATGCCTGCGATATTGCGCAAGCAGTTCACGAATACGTGTTGGAGCAGCATGGTCTCCTTTCCCCCCAGTCAAAAATGGTCTATGGACGCCACCTTCCTGATGGACCCACGCTGGAAGGGGCCTACCTGGATGACCTACTAGTGATTGGTCGCGTGAAAGCAGGAAGAGATGTGGAAGTGGATGGCTCTTTTGAACCTCCAGAGCCGCGACCTTCGGATCCGGACATGCGGCAAGTGAGAGCAGCAGAGTTAGCTTATGAGCACGCCGGCTTGGAGCGAGCTTTGCGTAAGTCTTTTCGAGCTGAGCTGAACTTCAAAGCATGGGGAGCAGAGATAGATGGTGTGAAAGGCACAGCCGGCGTGCCAATAGCGGTCCGTCGGCAAGTGTGGCATCTCTTTAGCCGGGTGGTAGTGATGGGCAAGGGCACTAAGAACTTGTTGCAACGGTTGCTGGGGTACGCTGCTTTTTGCTTCCAGTTTCGACGGGAATGTTTTTCATTACAACACCATGTATACAAGTACTTGGATAGTCTGACCGACGACAAGGTGTATAGGTTTCCTGGTTTTGTATTAGATGAACTGCGGGGAATGATGCTACACCTTCCATTTTGTTGCTGGAATATGAGACGTTCTTTTGCGGAAGAGATCATAGCAACGGATGCAACGCCCAGTTCAGGAGGAGCAACAAAAGCTTGCCTGTCAAAGGCCCTTGCTCAGAAGTTGTGGAAGCACACAGAGGTTAGGGGCGAAGCCGTCCGCCTAGACCGCGATGCTTCTGAATTTGATTGGGTCATGGGAAGAGAACCGCGTGAACCTTCCCGCTTTGCTAGCCAAGTAGGAGAAAGTCTGCAGTGGAGGATTGCTTCAAGCTATCACTTTAGGCACACAGCTCACATCAACCTACAAGAAGCACGGGCAGTGAAGCGAGAAGTGGTGCGGCTGGCCAGCGCTCCTCTTTCCCGTGATCGGGTGCATTTCTTTTTGAACGATAGCAGAGTGGTGGTGGGCGCCTTTACAAAAGGTAGGTCCTCTTCTTTTCGGTTGAACGGGCTTCTTCGATCGACGTTGCCGTACCTCATTTTGTCACGCATGGTTCTGGGCTTCCTTTGGGTGGAGACGGACAGCAACCCAGCTGATCACCCTTCCCGTTTTCGTGAACTTCCTTGGCAAAAACCCCCTCCTCTTTGGATGCGGAAGCTAGGCGTCGATTTTTTGGCAAAGCCTGGGCTGGAAGTTTTTACGGAAAGTGCAAGGCTGACTCAAGCTTGTTTGCAACAAGGCTTGTCCATGTTCGAACCTGTAGACGCCAGCGCTACGTGGATC